GGGGGGGTGATTGGAAAAAATCTGACCTTTTCAAAATTGATGTCGGTGTCCCGGCTTTTGATGAAGGTCCGCACCATTGTGTCCTTGTAGTGAAAGTGGGCGGCGCTACGGTTGCGGTAGGAGACAACCAGGAGGACCCAGAGGAAGATACAGTAGAAGAGAATCTCTCTGACCACGGCCCACATCTTGACCTCTTTGATCCTCTTTGAGCGGACTCGCTCCAGTTCTTTGGGGTTAGGGGGTTTATAACCAATCGTCTTGGGTCGTGCCGCCGCGAAAGCTGGGAAAGCGGAGATGTACTAATTGTTTATCTGTCTACTTAATAAATTAGTTACTCAAAGAATAATTATCTCGGCCTTTTGGCAGGATTCCTGTCTCTCTAAGCCTTGATTGGCCCTGACAGACAGGGTCGAAGTTCACCTCCTAAAAGATCTAAATCGTGTCCTTGGTGGCTTATAAAACCTTCATCTAAAAGAACATTTAATTAAAACATGTTTCGCTTGGTAGATTTGCTTCCTCGTTATTTAAAAAGAATGGTTGTTGTTTTGATTTCACAACATTTTGAATTGTCTGTTTACCCTTCAACGTTTTGTCTGTGTTATGGATTATCAATAGAGCGTAGAGTTGAAAAATAATCTTGGCTCAGAATAATACTTGGGCAAGATCTTTAAATGTACTACGCTCAGAATACAAACGTTTTCCGGAGAGAGAAAAACTGTTTTATTTTTCAAACGGCTGTACCTTTTTTATGTATCTTATTTTGCCCTTTTTTACATTAAGAATCTGAATTTCGAAGAAAAAAATATTTCTTAAGCACGTGCAGCCATTACTACAGATAAAGAAACTACAATAGAAATTAAATGTCGGGCTTAGTGCGTTTGAACAGCTAGCCGACGAAATGAAGTATCAAGCACGGTCAAGTCAAGATTAAGTGGTCGCGTTTCCTATCAAAAAAAGTAATTGAAGAGAGTTCGACATGTAGATGTATTATGGGCTTATAATTTAATCTCGTTTCTTCCCTACTACTACACTTTGACTGAAACTACTTGTAGCTTTGAATACATGTAAGAACAAAGGTCCTTAAGGACTATTTTTGTTAAGTGCTTAGATATCTCTTATCTTCCTAAGATAGTTTAATTTTAATCGAACAAAGAGTGTTGTTTGTTTTAGTAATGTGTACACTTTCACTTAACATTACATTATAATTATTACGTTCTCTTTTTTTAAAGCGCCATAGTATACAGCTAGTATGAGCGTGTGCGTTTGTTTGTGAGAGTGTGTATATGTTTGTATGTGTATGTATGTGTGTGTGTGTATGTGTGTGTATGTGAATGTGTATGTGTGTGTTTATGTGTGTATGAGTCTTTGTGGGTGTGTAGCCTTTAATTGTGCATTATGTTTGCGTGTACATTCGTTCGTATAAGTATGTCAGAGTAAGTTTACATATTTTACCATATTACGTATACGTCGATCTGTTTGCATGCCTTAAGAGGGAGTACGTATAATCAAAGAGGAGAATGATGTTAATCGCATATTTATGAAAATTGACCGACCATCACCCCCTGGGTGGAGAAAGTCATCGTCTGTGTTGACTGTGTTTCGCTCGTCCACGTCTTCATCATCCTCTTCCCCAGGGTTTTTCACAATCAGTGACAGAAACACTGCCGTCAGAATCACCTGGAAGGACAGAAATGTTTTTTTTCTTATTGATAGTACGTTGTTATTTCTCGAGTCATTCATGAGGTATTTGTTGACAAAATATTTGGGTCTTCAGCTGACGAGCAAGGGGTGCTTGTCAAACAGACCACAATTGAACCTCGACTGAAACACTAAATTTGCTTTGTCTGCTTTTTATTACATCGTTCTCCCATGAGTTGGTAATCTATAACACCTTAACCTTTTCTTACCCTTTTCATACTGTACTGACGTACTCACTTTTATTGGCTGGGTGATGAAGACTGACGTGAAGAAGGAAATGATCAGTGATGTGATCCACTTCTTACATGTTGAGTCCTGAAAATAATTAAGCAGACCACAATAATATATATTATTGACGCTGTATTTCAAGTCAGTTAAAAATGTTATTTTATCATCAATCATGAACAAGAGCATCCTTTTTTCTGATAAGCAACAAAAAATATCAGATGTGTACTAGACATAGCAACACCCTGCTCTCTCTCTCTCTCTCTCTCTCTCTCTCTCTCTCTCTCTCTCTCTCTCTCCTCTGCCCCCTTCACCTTCTCTTTTTCTTTAATCCTACTACTTTTCTCTCCTCCTATTCCTTCCTTTGTCTTCTTCTAATCTTTCTCCGTCTCCCCATTCTCCATCTCCTTTCACATCATTTCGTTCTTCTACTACTCATGCTCCTCCATGCCATTCTTCTCCTATTGTTCACCATTCTTTACTTTTTTTTTTTTTTAACCTTTTTCTCCACCCACTCCACCCTCTTTCTATCTCCCCCTCTCCTTCCCTCACCTTTATATCTACCTCTCCTCCTCTTCTTCCTCTTTTTCATTCCCCCTCCCCCCTCCCATTTCGTTTCGAAATTCCTATCTTCCCTCTCACCTGAAAACTGATGCCGTAAAAAGTGACGATTGCCACAGCTACTGCAGTAGTGACGACCAAGATGACCCAAGCCAGAGGACGGCACCACCAGGGGAGCTGAAGCTTCTTCTTAACCGCACCCTGCTCCCCTGTACCGTCCGGTGGGCTGGGTGGTCCTTGGCTGGCTGATGGATGAGACCCTGGGAACCATGCAAATGAATGAAATATAATAGAATAACTAAATATAATAGAATAAAATAGAATAAAATGGAACAAAATAGAATAGAGTGAATTGAAATGAAGTAAATTAACAAAATTGAGTAAAAACAATTTTCAAAGTAAAATTAAATTAAATTTTAAAAAATAAATAAATAAAATGAAATAAAATAAAAATTGAAGAAAATAGAATAGAATATTATACAATGAGATAAAATGAAATTAATTATATACAATCAAATTAAAGTAGAATAAATAAGTAAAAGAAATAAAATACAAGAAATGCCATTCTGGTGGTCGTATGGTTTATCTGTTGGGCTCTCAACCAAATGGCAGTGGGTTCGAACACCGTCAGTAGCCTAAAATTGTGTCCTTGAGAAACGCACTTTTCATGAAGTTTCATCGCCTCACTCAGGTGAAATGAGTATTCGGCTACAGACAGTAAGAAATATCCCGTCTTGTCGGCTGCTTACACTACATGCTTCCTGATCAGCCAGGATTGGTTGTGAGTGTTCTAGGTTCTCCTGGGGTAATAATGATATAGGTTTTTAAACGAATAGAGCTTGCTGTTAGGCTGGAGTATGCGCTGTACAAATAAATGCTATTACTATTATTGTTATTATTATTATTAATATTATTATTATCATTATTATATCTGTTGATCCTAATGACAAAATTTGATTAATAATGGCAAACACATAATACATGCAGACAGGAAAATACATCATGGCATATTATAACCCACATACAATAATTCCATCAACGCAACGTAACACCCAATAATGTGACACCAATACAATCTAACACAACTGCCAGTGCTCGTCACTACTATGCGGCACAATGTTTTGATTGAGGTTATCATGCCTTTCTCAAAGACCCAAAACCTTAGCTATCCTGCTGAACACTTTGGTAACGTCGTGTGCTTGGTATTCTTACTTGAACTTACAAGTAACTCTGCTACTGGAGTCTAGCAAACTGTACTTATTCTGCTCTGATCAATTGTAATGTTCAGTACACTTTATCAAAAACAAAATAGTTTTCCAAAACATCATAGTTATTAGTCGATGTATCGCAACAGTAGTAGTATAATTTTTAAGTTCTAAACTTTATAAACCTTTTATCCCAAACGATCCTCAAAATTATATAATCTTCGGAATAAATGTAATTTGCTTTCCATTTATAACACACGGTCTTTTAACTATTGTAGTCTTTTTTTCTACAATCATAACTATCTCCATATTAGTTGGAAACATCTGTACGCTTAACGTTCCCATATAGTAATGTACTGTTTAGAACGAATTGTCGTGAACCCACCTTTAACAAGTCTTTCATTATCTCTCGTCTTGTTCAGAGACGAGTTGGAATCAGATCCTGGACTGCTTCTGCCTGCACTGCTCTCCAGTCTAGGACTTGACACGCACGAGATCTGTCAATTTGTTAGAAATGAGCTTAACGATACTTTCAAAACTCTGAGGTTATTTAGAAGCTGGATAAGTGAGTAGAGCAAACATCCATCTCCAATGGGACCGAGCTAAGTTAAGGCGGAGCTATGGAAACAGTCCAATCGACCCAAGTTCAAAACACCCTATTTTGGGGATTCTAACCAGGGCCATGCGGTTGTGCATGGCCCTGCATCATACAAACTGTGTTTACGACGCAACCGAGTAAGATCGGTTGGCAAATAATCAAAACACGAAAAGCATCTAGTCAGTTGAGGTAAAGATTCCGCCTAAATGTTACAACACTTTAATAACTTTTCGATTAAACGGGTTAGGGCTGCTTCAATTTCAATAACCGTCTATTTTCCCTTTCCCTTTTCAAAACATGTTTACACACCCCCTCCCCCCCCCCCCTCCTTCTCCCCCGATAAACTCCAAACACCAAATCATTGTATTACGGCTAATAACAGGCCCGAACCTGTATAGTCGCAAAGGGAGATATAAATTAATTTGTGTCACAAACCCCAAGAGGCCTTCAACCTAACCATTTATTAGACCTACACAGCGGTAGACTGTCAATTAAATCAGAAACACCACAGTAGACAGTAAACTAAAGAATCATCGACAGTTACACAGAGGAATATGCACAACATGACGACTGACCTCTGGTTTGACCTGGCTGAGTTTTGCCGTGCCCGGCCTGTGTCCAGAGACAGGCCGTCCAAGAACTATTCTCGATTCCGGAATGGTGCGAGGCCGGGATTTGCGGAAGAGGAAAACCAGGAGGAAGTTGACTGGGAACACAATCAGCGTGCTGATGAAGCCTATGGAAATCTGCAAATTATTTCGAAAAAGGAGGGAGGGTACGGGGGTAGGGAGGGGATATAATAATATAGTTATTTTAAAAAATGTATTTACCATTTTCATTCAAGTTTACACAGTAAACGGTAGCATTATTAGCTCAGTGGATGTTATTCTGCCGATGATCCTGATTAGAATCTCCAGACTTCGGGTTGTTCGATGAGTTTTCAAGACGTTATACCTGCTTTAGACGTTCCGAAGCCTAAATAGACTTAAAAATACATTCCAAAAGATATTTCTGTGCTTAAATGGAACTTAAAATGATATTCAATGTACAAAACATCAGAACAATAAACTGAAAGGTAAAAGAAAATGAAAAGGTGAAGCTGTCTACAAAATAGAGGACAATTACCAGCCCAATTTCCTGCGTCTTGTGCGTTTACTTCTAAATGTGTGAAATAAACACAATATTTGTCAAATAAAGGGTGTCTAAAAAAGAGGACCCATTTATTGGGTAATAAATCAATTGTCTCTGCCTTAATTAAAGCAAAAGCAAAAACAAAAACGAAGAAAAAAACCCACAAAAAAACTTGGAACAAATATTCTTCAATTAGGGGGACGTCAAGTTTGTAATTCAAAAGATGATCAATTCAAGTATTCGAGAGATTTTAAGTTAAAATTTGTTTAACCAACCATGTTGTTCTAATTCAAATAATCACTATGTGCGGATTGAAGAACAAATTTATACAAAACTGATATTGTCCCCCCCCCTGCCCCCCCCCCTCCCCTAAAAGGGGAAGGAGGTGTGTTGACCATTTCTCTCCAATATAAGCTCGATCCTATACGCCTTTGCAAATTTTGAATAACCCTGTGGCTGGCAGGGTCGACGTTCGCCTCCTAAATGCTCTAAATTGTGTCGATAGAGTTGCCAAACATTCACATTAAAAAACACGAATTACCCTCACCTGTGAGGGGCTCATGGAAAAAGGCCCAAAGTTAAAAGAAGAACTTGCGCTGCTAGTATCTCCCGTGTCCACGTTATAAAACATGGCGTTTGCCAGCATGGTCATGAACAGGAGACACAGGCAGCATGCCACTCGCTCTACACAAGAGAACCGACTGCCCGGCGGTCGAGCTATGACGGAGAACCAGAGATGGCCGTCCACTAGGTCTTTCTTGGAGCGTTCCTTGAACTGGTAGCTGAAGTCTTCCAGCTGTTCTTTGCCAGCTAAGGGGATGATGCGGTCGACCTGATGGGTAGCAGGAATCAATGGAAGAAGGTGTGGGGGTTGGCGGGGGTAAGAGGTTGTGGGAGGTAAGAGGACATGGTGTTTGGTACCAGTATATTGTATATATCTGTGTAAGCGCGTTATATCACCACACTCACAAATACACACAGACACACACAAATAAATAAGTTAACATATATATATTTAAAAAAAAATATATATACATACATACCATATATATATGAATATATATATAATATATATATATATTTACATATATATATATATATATATATATATATATATATATATATATATATATATATATATAAACAGACACATACACAGACACACACACACACATATGCATATACGTATTTATCTGACGGGAGAGGACGCTGGACAAAAAACAGATAGATACGTCGATTGATCGATATATGGATAGAGATAGAGCGAGAAAAACGAGAAAGAAAATGAGAAAGAAAAAGGGGAGTGGGAAAGAAAGAAAGAAAGACAGACAGAAAGATAGATGGATAGATAGATAGATAGATAGATAGAGAGAGAGAGAGAGAAAGAGCAAGAGAGAGAGAGTGAGAGAGAGAGAGAGAGCAAGAGAGAGTGAGAGAGAGAGAGAGAGAGAGAGAGAGAGAGAGAGAGAGAGAGAGAGAGAGAAAACAGGAGAGAAGAGAGAGGTTGCGATATGTAGAAATAGAAAACCAGAACAAGAGAGAGAGAGGGAGAATAGGTCAGAGTGGAGAGGGAAGAAAGAGTATAACGAAGACAGTGGTCAGTGAAATAAGGGACAACGTGAGTTCATGCTATTCAGAGCTACCCTTAATTACGTACCTGTCCGTCATCCTCCTCCACTGCGAACCACCTGTTGGCGATGAACACCTGCTTCGTTTCAGCCTGTAAGTCTTTCACCACGATATAGTTGAGGAACCAGGAGCGAAACTTGCCGTTGCCGGAGTTGTCATGCCACACACGCATGTAGTTGATACGGCCGAGAGATCTGGGGGTGTACAAACGCTCAGATGATGGTCATCCACAATTACAATTTATCTTTAATTTTTTTTCTGTTGTTTGTCTTGATCTATTTTTCGACAGTCGTTTCAATTTACCGACCAACAGTATCACAAAAAAGAGCCACAGCCACACATTGCTAACAACGCTGCAATAATTGAACAGAGAAAGAAGAATAGTAGTCCCAAGTAATCCCCTGAGAGAAAATGATCAAAATTTGTCTGCAATTATTTTCCTTTGAATACTGACTTTCCTGCTTGCTGTGCTCATTTACAATAACACCCCCCTCCCCCCCTTATTTGATCTCTATATGAGAAATATATAAATAAAAGTCGTTTTTCCTTGAAATGAATATTAAAGTTTAAAAATGTTAAACATAATAAAAATATATGTTCTTTTTGTCAAATGTTTATTCTACTACCTGTGCAAATATAAAGAAATGTAGTCTATAGTACAGTCTCAACCCCACCCTTTCCCAAGTCCCCCTTTCACCCTCCCCTAGCCCATTTAAACTCACTCAGGGACAGCCATGAGGAACCCGTTGGTCATTCCCCGTTTCAGAATGGGTCTCTTAGTATCGCTCAACATCCTCACCTCCGTCTCATCTTCCTCTCCAGAGAGAATGAAAAAGACCTGAGGAGCGGTTTACATGAAGAAAGCTTGCCTTAAAAATTGTTTGTTTCCAGACTGAGCTGTTTTTTATTTCTTGCTCGTTTCTTACGTTTTTGTTTATGTCTCTCTCTCTCTCTCTCTCTCTCTCTCTCTCTCTCTCTCTCTCTCTCTCTCTCTCTCTCTCTCTCTCTCTCTCTCTCTGTGTGTTCGAGAGCGGGAAAGGGGAAGGGGGATAAAGGAGCCAAACATCAACCTGATCTTAGCAATCAATTTATACCGTTGCTGTAGGCAAGAAAGAAAGACAGAAACGAAGGAGGGATCAGTGAGGAACTAGACCCTGTCAGTGGTGTCCTTCAATCACAAGGCAGCTACGATTAGAAAACAATTTATTAACTTCAAAGGCGAATGGTCGACTAAATACATCTAAAGAAAAACGCAGGAGGTGAGTGAAGTAGGCATCTAACAATTTAGAAATATGTGCATGTACTAGAAGGCAAGCTAAAAGAGACGAGAGCCATGGAAAGGTGGAGAAAGCATAGTATTATAGTTATGGACAACGCGATCGTTGAGACAGTGCACTAGAGCAGCTGGCAACTGAAGTGAAAGGAGTAGCATTGCACGTCAATACCAGTGACCGCCGTGGCAGTGATGGCACTTTCAATATCCAGTATCTAAAAATTATTCTGCCGCAAAAACGGCAAACGTTAAAGTACTTTTTACTTTAGTAAACGTATTTCCTCTCAAAAATAAAATATGATATTGTAATTTTGGAAAGCTTTCAATACTACCTCCTTATAATATATA